GCACATATTACTCAGTAGGTCACAGGTTTATTATAAAATAATATGACTCAGGAAGAGTGAGACAGAAAAGATACAGAGGGTGGGGAGAGCAGTAAGGGGCATGAAACTTCCATGGCCTCTCTGAGGTGCCCTCTCTTCCAGCATCTACATGTGTTCACCAACCTGAAGCCCCCTAGATGACATTCTTTTCAGAGTTTATGGAGGCTTCATTACATAGTCATGGTTACAAATCACAGACCACTGGTGATTGATTCTTCCCACCCCCTCTCCCATCCTGGTTCCCTCTAGTCTGCACACCACCTGAGACAAGAGGCACTGCTCACAGAGGGAATTGCAGATGTGGCCCCAACATGGCCTCCTCCCCTAGGCTCATCCTCTGTTTTATGGTCAAGGGTGAGGGACACATGGGGTGGTACATGGAGCTGTGAGAGGAGAAGTTGTAACCATAGCCACAGGTATGGATAGGAGGGCAAAAGAGGAAATTTCCCTATAACTTGCACTAGGTTGGGAGGGCCTCAGGGGCAGAGAGGAGGGGGAAGGCCAGGCTAACACACCTCCTAACAGAAGGGCCATCCTAAGTAACCAACAGCAGTGAAGTGGGTGCAGGGAGCAACCATTATCTTCCTTTATAGAGTTTATTTTATTTTTATTTTCAGAGAGATGGGAAGGGAAAGAGAAACAGAGGGAGTGAAACACCAATGTGTTCTTTTCGCTTATGTGCCCCCCACTGGAACCCTGGCCTGCAACCCAGTCATGTGCCCTGGCTGGGAATCAAACCAAGGACCCTTTGGTTCACAAGACAGCGCTCAATCCACTGAGCTACACCAGGTGGGGCCACTGTCTCACTTCAGCCAGGGTCACTCAGGGTCCCTATCTCACTTTAGAAAAGCCACCAGAATTCATCTTAGAGACAGGAGTGTGTGTTTATGTAAGTATATGTGAATTTTACTTCACAGAAAGTAATGACAAAAATTATTTGTACCTCTATCAGCTATCTTCCTCATTCGCCCAGCTGGGGATCAAACCTGCCGACATTTGGCATACAAGATGACACTCCAACCAACAGGGAGGGCCACAGCAACCAGAGCAAGAATCATATGCTTTTAAAAAGTGATGCTCTCAATATTTCCAGTGCCCAGGTGGTGCCATACATGAATATTATGTTATTATTGTCTATGCTCCCTCTCATGCACTTTGCATCCCAGTGAGTACTCCATAAGATGTCTCTTTAATTCAGCTTCACAGCAAGGGTCTGGCTCCTTCAAATCCTCAATGAAAAACCAAGGCCAAGACCACCCACTGCTGGATGCAGTGCAATCCCCATATCTATGTTCCAGAATAATCTCACATGAGACCCTCTGCATAGTAAAAAAGTACCTCCTGTTCCCTGGTTCCCTCCACTTGACTTTAGTGGGGTGGCTAGCTCTTCAGGGATTTGACACAGATTTGTGGTATTTAGGAAAATAAAGTTGACCTGCATTAGGTTTTTGTATATTTTGAATCTAGAGTCTGGGAGACACAGTAGAGGAGGGAAATGGATTCACTGCAAACACTCATTACCGGTTTACCCCAGAGTTTTGAGCTTATCCACAGTAATTCTCAGAATCTCGCCATTGGGCTCAAGAAACTCCCACAGACACTAAATAGAATCATAAATTGAATTTTTATGTTGTATTACTTAATTTTTTGATTTATAATCAAACACTAATCACTACAGGGTAGGCATCTTTGAGTTGAAATGAAGAGATATGCTCCTGACTTTACTGCACTCAGACCTCTACAAGAACAGGGCTATTTGGGAGACTAGAAACTCAGGTGCTAACCAGGTAACTTCTAGGCAATGGAAAAATAAGGCCCCAAGTTCATTCCCTTCTTGGTCCTGAGGATGGAGACACAGGAGCAGGGGGTGGGGAGAGAGAGGACAAGTAGAATGGGAGAGGCACAGGCAGAAACAAGGGGCAATAACTGGGTGGGTATCACTTGTGGCTCACATTTGTACCTTACTGTGCTTTCAAATCTTTAAAACCCTGCTAAACAAGTAGAGACAGACTCGCTCAGGACAGGCAATTCTCAGACACAGGAAAGATCTCTGACAGGAACAGCCAATTGGGTGCAAAACACCCGATCTTGAGCCCATACATCTACCCACCCCACCCTTCCTTCAGTCTCCAAGATCCTGCTACAAAGGAAATGAAGACCCCCCCAACAGGAATAAACACTCCTGATTTCTTCAATCTAGCTGATCCTGAATTGCCCTCCCTGCCCTGCATTGCATTTCCCATGAAAACCCCAAAAAGGACTCTGGCTAGTCTGTCCCCCACTTCCATCTGCTCCCTGAAGCAACCTGGTGCTTCCCCTGGAGCCTGGCCTTGTGGGGCCTCCTCTTGGTAAATGAAAGGAATAAAAGCCTTCTTTCACTGGCATGGACTCTCCTTGTTGTCACTCAGTCACTTAAAGAAATTAAAACCCCAAGGGTACAAGTGAGACAGGTGACTCAGGAGTTCCCAGGGAGAAAGGAACACTGACATCACCACAACCACCCTTCTGGACTCCGTGTTACACCTCAGTTCCATCTTCGCAAGAAGGGAGAGTCAGTCAGGACATAGGCCTCAATCTCTGGGAGTCTCCACACCTGCAGGGCCAACACAGATCTCAGCTCAGGGACTTGGCCATTTTACACTAAATCCAGGCAGGTGGGACTCCTCAGTCCCACCTGGAACTTGGGGCCAATCACTGACCTTCTCTGTGGAGAGATAGACCTGCTCACCTGGTGTAGTAGAGCCAGGTGAGGCCATAGGTGAGGAGGAAGCCAGTCCCCATGAGGGCTCCTCTGATCAGAGTGAGTACCAGGGGCCAGGAGCCCTGCTGCTCCCCAGAGGGGTATCCTGAGGAAGAGAAGAAGGTGGTAAAGTACTGATACCAGTTCCAGTTCCTGCCACAGCTCCAACACCTGACACGCTTGACCACACCCAGTCCCTGTCCTGCAACTCACTCTGCACAGAGAGGCTGAAGGAAAGATGCAAGGAGCCAAGACCGTGCTCAGCCAGGAGAGGCTCTCCCCTCTAACTCCAGTCCCTAAGTGGGGCAGCTCCAGGACCCCAGGTGCTAAAGGCTGGGACAGGATCAAGGCTTCTCTCAGGCTCCAGCTCTGTGTGACCCCACCCACTCAGAGGACTCAGCGTCTTGTTTTCCAATCTCCTTGGAGGATAGGCTGTAGCTTCCGTTCAGTCAGGAGACTGAGGATCCCTTCCTAGCAAATCACCACCTTCCACTGTTGGCCCTCTCCCAGCTCCATCTGCCCTTTCACCCTCTCCTTTCTTCCTAAACTTTGGTTTCCAACAGACCCCAGACCTGGCAGCAGCAGGACAGTGGTGCTCTGCACCCCATGGACATTCTCTGCCTTGCAGCTGAGTCTGAGGCCAGCACTGAACCCTGAGCAAAGGCTCAGGGAACTGTTGGCCCAGGTCCCCAGAGAATAGGAGGAGACCCTGTAGGTCGCCTTGCTGAGGTTCCCCTCCAGCAGCTCCTCCCCCAGCCACCAGCGCAACGAGGGGGGTGGATGGCCTCTGGAGGAGCAGCTGCAGTTCAGACTCTGGTCCTTCCAGGAGCAGGAGGGTCCCATCAGCTGTGGAGCATCTGTGGAGAGTGAGGGAAAGGGTCAGTGGTTCCTCTGCCCCCCCTGGACACAGTTGACCTGCCCCCAGGTTCCCGCACACTCACAGACCACTGAGAGGTTGAGAGAGATACTTCTGGAGCCCAGCGGGTGCTGAGCTTGGCAGGTGAACTGTCCTTCTTCTCCAGTCCCCACTCTTGGCAGCTCCAGGATTTCAGTGCTAGAAAGGGGGGCAGCATTCAGGGCTGGAGACCCCTGGAACCAGCTCAGCTGTGCAGGGGGGTTGCTGTCAGCCACACAGAGCAGCCTCAGAGCATCCCCCTTCAGGATGGGAAGGGATGTGGTTTGCAGAATCTTGAGGGCTAGAGAAGAGAAGTGCAGACAAAGAGAGAAAGAGAAAGAGAAACAGAAAGAGACACTGAAGGAGAACTGGGGGGCAGCACCCACCCACAAGAGGTAAGGGAGTGGGGGTGATGATTTTCCTCCTTGCCTCTCCCATATCACATCCCATTCTCACTCTGATTCCCCTCAGCTCCACAGAGGTTCCCAGGGCAGGTCCCAGCCCCACAAGAGGTTCTTTCCTACCTGTAACATTCCCGTAGGATGCCCTTATGGTGAGGTTCTGTGGGGCATCTGGGACAGAAAGACATGGGCCTGCCTCAGAGGGAAGGATTGGATAGAAGTCACCCCAACCCAAGGAGGGGCAGTGGGAACCAGAATGGTAGCATAGCTGTGTTCTGGCCCACTCCCCTTCAGATGTATAAATGAGTTTCCTGCTTTTAGCTCAGCCTACTGTACACACACACAGAATACACACAAAGACACAAACAATCAGGTTGGCCAGTCCCACTGCCCTCAGGACACCAGCTGTCCCTCCAACACTCACAGGAGACATTGAGCTGAATGGTTTTCTGTGTGGTCACCCTGTGTCCTGCAAGCGTCACCCGACAGGTGACTGTGGTGCCATGGTCCCTGGGCTTTGGGGTGAAGGTGAGCATGGAGGAGCGAAGGGTCTTGGGATTCATCGTGTCAAGAGCATTCCCCACCCATGAGAAGATGAGAGGACTTCCCTCTTCACAGGACCCTGGCAGGCTGCAGCTCAGCTGTGTGGGGCAGCCAGACTCCAGAGGCCCCCAAATGTGGATGTCAGGTTTCTGTGTCAGGTCTGAGGAGGAGAGAGGAAGGTGCCTGGTAGTTGGAGCTTCCATGGGGACCCAGAATGTGACCCCACCTGGGACCCATGGCTGAGGGCCTGAGTTCACCCTAGGTCCTGTGTCTCTTCTAACACCCTGGGCCCAAGGCTGGGATCAAATAGTGTCCCAGGGTCCTGTTGCTATTCTAAGCTGGGTCCCATGTCTCAGCACCCTCTCCTGGGCCACTGCCATACCTGTCACCTGCAAAGTCAGCTTCTTCTCTTGGTAATCATTACGGTGAGTATATGGTCCATGCACTCGTAAGACATAGATTCCTGCATCACTCTTCCTGGCGTCTCTGATGCTCAGCGAACAGTTGGCTCTGGGATCCATGAGGGAGAATCGGCCCCGGGTATCTCTCTTCACTCGTTTATTTGGGACATATGTGGCCACGAGTTCAAGGTTTTGTGTGCGGCGCCCACTGTAGTACCAGTAGATGTAGATATTGCCAGAGGGATAAACTGAAGTCCAAGCAGAGGGAAAGGAGCAGGGCACGTTGATGCATCCACCCACCTGCACGCTTGCAGATTCCTGCATTTGGATACCATGGCCTGGCTGCTGCCCCTGAAAGGACCCTTGGGGGGACACAGACACTAAGCATTGGCCCCAAACCGCCCCCCACCTGCCCATCCCTCTTCCCAAGCCCTCTCACCTCCCCACAGCAGGGGCAGCAGCAGTAGGAGCAGCATGTTTGCTTCTCACTGGCAGAGTGGGTCCAGTTGCTTGTGTCAGGGAGGGAAATACCCAGCTATGGGGTGGGGCCAATGACACCCCAACAGGAAGCCATGGGTGACAGAGCTGTGGCCAGTCCTGAAGTGGAAGTTGGGCTCCACAGGCTGTGGGGAGAGTTGTGAGGGCTGAGAAATCATCCTGTTTCAACTCCTGCAACCCAACCCTGCAAGTGGATCTACTGTGGTCCCCAGATGTTGAGCGGCTTGTCCAGCTGTGAATCTGAATGTATTCACCTTGCAGTTGATGTTGAAGTTGACAGAGAGGTCACCCAGGGGTCATTCCAGTGAGAGTTGCTCCTGACTCTTTTGGCTGGAGGGTGGAACTCAGGAGACCTACCTTCCAGCCAAAATCACTGAACATTCTGGGAAAGGAGGATTTAAAAATTTTTATTTGGACAACCCAAGGGCTGGTAGGAGAGGAAAGAAATTAGACCCACTCCAGTAGAGATTGGAACCCAGAGGAAAGTTGGGCATTAAAGTGCTTTGTTCTGAGAGACTTTGGGAACATGGGATGCACAAGTGATGGTCTTCCATGGTGATGGGTGCGTGGGACACCAAAAGCGCACAGGTGCCTTTGAAGTGGGACATGGCCAGGGAGATCTCACCCCATTCAAGGGGACCTTAGACTCTGGCCCTCAGCCCAGCAGCAAATGCTCAGTCTTAAAATTCAGGAAGCTCCATCCCCAGTGCCCCTCATGAGCTCAGTTCATATTCAAAGCAAGGGCTCCAGGCATGTGTGGGAATAACCTGCAATCCTACTGCCCTTTATGAAAGAAAGAAACTTGATAAACATTTTCTCAAACATGACGATGATGTGAAACAGGTCAGCTATTTCCTGTAACAAGTTGTGGGGTCAAAAGTTTCTTAAACTATCCTATTTTTCCATGTATAAGGCACAGTTTTTGTCCAAATAATTGAGAGAATAATAAGGATGTGCATTATACATGGGTGGTTTCAATTCAGTTTCTATATAAATGTCTTTAATTCTTTTAATTGTGCTTTTGCATTAATAGTGTAACTCTACAAAGCAATAATGATATCTGTATGCAAAATAATACCTTGGAACATGATAATCGGTTTAGTTTCTGTATATAAATAAATAAATAATTGGACTTGGCTGGTGTGGCGAGTGCTGTATTGTGAACTGAGGGGTTAGAAGTTTGATTAAATGTCAGGGCACATACCTGAAAGCGAGCCACTTCCCTGGTTGGGTGCGTGTGAGAGGCAACCACACATTGATGTTTCTTTCTCCCTCTGTCTTTCTCTCTTCCCCTTCTCTGAAACAAAATAAGTAAGATAGTTTTCAATGTTGAATAAAAAAATTAAAATAAATGATTGTTTCTGTGAACCTTTGGGCTAAAAGCATGGGCATGCATTACACACAGGAGCACTTTAGACGTGGCAAAATATGGTTCACAGGAAAATTAAATGTCAATTTGTGGTGCCAGATGAAATGTTAATTCTCTCTCTATTCACTACAGCATATCAATATTATCTGATTGTAATAATAAGGATTACTACTGTGATATTAATATCTATTACTCTAACAGAGAACTAATCTCCTATGAAGACACAATGAAGCATTATTAGTCAAAAACGTGGGGACATGTGTCCTGCAGCTGTGCCAGACAGGAATGGCACACTACTAATAAAAATAGTCTGTAATTGTCTGATTAGTGTTGTATTTTGGTTTTCAGCATTCTAGCCCTTCTTACCTGATGTGATGTAATTTCTCATTTCAGAAAAATTCCTGGGTGCCACAGGTTGCTATTTCATTGAAGCAGTGATCTCTACATTAGTATCAGTACCAGGCTCCTCAAAATCTGGGGCTGCCTCTCCCATGGGGAACATGTGAACCAGAAGTAACCAGCTCAACCATACACTCACCCCAGACTCCTCACATGTTGCAAAGAACATTGTCTTGTGCAAGCAAAGAACTTAGGGAAGCAGCATTTACATGGTTGTGCCCCCACCATGCACATCACTGAACAGTATAGAAAATCTCAATGTGGATTATAAAAATGGGAAGAAATAATCAGAGTTTGCAAGAATGTTCAAAATGGGGAACCCCCTTTCACTGCTTGTGGAAATGTAAGTTGGAGCAGCTGCTATGTAAATCAGTGTGGCAGTTCCTCAAAAACTGAAAATGGAGCTGCCCTAAGATCCAGCAATTCCACTTCTGAGCACATAATTTGGGGAAATGAAAACACTAACTTGAAGAGCCCTAGGCACCCCTCTCTTCACTGAAGAATCATTTACAATCACCAATATGGGAGAGCAACTTCAGTGTCCATTGATACATGAAGGGATGAAGAAAATATGGTGTATGTACAATGGAATATGCTTGTGCCATAAGGCTAAGTGAATCAACAATGCTGAGAAAGACAAATACTGTACAATTTCACTCATGTGTGGGAACTTTAAAACAATCAAACTTAGAGTTAAAATAGGTAGGTGATTCCCAGAGAAGGAAAATGGGTGCAAAATAAAAAGACAACCCACAGAATGAGAAAACATGTTCACCAATATACCTGATGAGGGGATAATATCCAACATTTATAAATAAATTATAAATTCAACACCAAAAAAACAATTAAAAATAAGCAAAGGACCTGCTAGACACTTCTCTGAATAGGACATATTAATGGCCAATAGAGAGATGAAAAGATGCTCAACATCACTAAATATCAGAGAAATGCAAATTAAAACCACAGTGTGATGTCTTCTCACACCTGTCAGAAGGGCTATCATCAATCAATAAACAAACAAGAAGTGCTGACAAGGATGCGGAGAAAAGGGAAGACTTTTGCACTCTTGGTGGGAATGCAGATTGGTGCAGCCACTGTGGAAAGGAGTATGAAGATACATTAATAAATTAAAAATGGATGTACCATTTGACTCAGACATCACACTTCTGGGAATATATCCAAAGGGATGCAAAACACTAATTTGAAAGAACATAAGCATGCCTATGTTCATTGTAGTGTTATTTACACTCGCCAAGATATGGAAGCAGTCTGAGTGTGCATCTGTAGATGAGTGGATAAAACAACTTTGGTGCATTTACACAATGGAATACTACTCAGCCCTAAAAAAGAAAAAGATACCATTTGCGACAATATGGAGGGCCCTGGAGAATATTATACTCAGCAAAATATGTCAGTAACAGCAAAAAAAACCCCACCATATTTATTCACTTATAGGTGGAATATAATGAACAAACTGAACTAACAAGCCAAACAGAGACAGACTCATGAATGGAGAGCAGATGACAGCTGGTGTTGGGGGGAGTTACAGGGTAGAGGGATTGAACAAAATGCAAAAAACACATGGACATGGACAACAGTGTATTGATTGTGAAGGTAAGGGGGACTATGAGGGGACTAAATGGTAATGAAAAAATACAAGCAAACATTTAAAAATAAAAAGTCAAACACATAGATAGCAAGAATAGATGGGTGGTAGCCAGAAGAAGTAAATGTGGGTAGTGGAAAATGGGTGAGGTGGTCAAAGCTACAAACCTTCAGTCATAATATAACTAAATCATGGGGACATAAGAAAGAGCACGGTGACTGTAGTTAATAATAGTGGGTATTAGTATTATTAACTATAAGAATGCAGTTAATAATGTGTTGTATAACTGAAAGTCTAAGAGAGAAAATTGTTGAAAGTTCTCTTTACAAGAGAAAAGATGTGGAATTCTATGTGGTGATGGATGCTAACATGGGTTATTGTGGTGAGCACTTGGAGATACATACATATTTTAAATCATTCAGTTTATGGCTGGGTCAAGTTTCTATGTCTACCCTGCTCCAGGTCCCACACACCCCATCCCCCACACCCTCTGCCAAGCCCACCACAGTGAGGACCTGTCATACCCAGAGAGTTAGAATGTCCCTGTGTCCACATCTGGGCACCCCTCACACTTGGGAACAATTGATGGTCTTCAGGGCACAGAGGAGAGCCCCTGCCTTTCCCTCTATTTACAGATTTGACTGTGTTCTGTGTGGTCAGTGGAGCTATAAGGGGATGATGGCTCTTTCCAAGAAGCAGCAGCATGAACAAGAGCTGAGGTCACCTGGGGGCCCAGAGTGGAGATGGTGCAAAGAAGCACAGGACTTTCTGCATCATGACATGTGTGTTGGTGGAGGGTGATTTGGGGTAAATCTTGCCAGTGAAAGGTAAATGTCAGGTTCCCTCACCAGACCCCTGTGCCCAGATTCCAGGGTCCCCAGCACGTGGATATCAGATATCTGAGTCAGCCCTAGGATGGACACAGAGACACAGCTCAGAAATGTGTGGCACCAGGAGCATCCTCCATGTTAACTCTGCCCTCTGGCTGATGATTTTCTGGCCCTACCTGTCCATCCAGGGATGACATTTTCTGTTTTTGACAGGATCTCCTGAGCAGTCTTCTTCTGAAGAAGAAAAATGCCCTGCTCTCTCTACCCTGATATCTGTGTTTCCCAGACAACAGTCACAGGTGGGGGTTTCCAAGGAGGTGGAGTCCTCCCAAGGTTGTCGATCATCTCCTTCAGGTACTCACCTGGTCTGTTTAGGCACAGGGTGATCATGGTTCATTTGGTTTCTTCCTTCAACCAGAAGGTGTACACTATCTATGGTAAATCCATAGATTTTGGGATGAGAAAAATGGGGGTCACCTACAGGACCCTTGATGTCACAGCGTCAGTCCCTGCTCTATGAGAAGCAGTAAATTTCTATCTATGGTTCTTTCTGGAGCGTCATTTCCAAAACCTGCCCTCTCTCAGAAGATTTTCTTCTCTCCAGGGACAAATAGGGAAGGGAAGATGGAGCTCTTCTCAATGTAGGTCTTGTCACACCCTGTCAGGAAGACCCCTTTGCATCTCAGTTCTCACTCATGTCACCTCTGCCAATGTTCATCCCCCCCACCCCCCTCAGAGAACAGATGGAGAGCTGTTTCTTTCTGCTCTCTCAGAATTCTAAGAACATCTCTAGGAGCAGTAAGG